CAGTGAGGAGGGTGAACCGCCGCACTCTTCGGTCCCTCCTTATCAAGCCCTTATGTTTTTTTTGTAGGTTCTCTGATGGATCCCATTAAAAGGAGCGTTTTTTTCAATCAAGCGGCACACAACATTCTTAGCGACATTCTTAATTTAGAAAACTTTGTCGGCAACATGTGAAATTTTTGCTAACAATGCTGCACACATTTTGAGCCTACTTTAAACACTCTTCGATGCCTTTGATTAAATTTAAAACTCCTCTTGGTTTATTCGGCAATACCTTAGGGCCAAAATAAAACCTATCGTACTTGTACTATAGTAGACTTGCTACACAACATCACTAGAGTTATCGGATAGTCCAACTTTCTTTCTCATGTGCAGTTTGGGTTAGTTAGCCAATCCACTTCCCTTATAACCACTTGGGTGCTACTTGTCGACTTGTCAAATCAACATGTTTACATTTTCTTATTTTTAGTTTTTTTCTCTGTAGATTTTGATCTTAGATCTACATTTTATTGCCAACATGAATGTTATAGGTACTTAAGGGATTCACCTGAAAGCCATGTAATAAAAGTTAGTCCCTTGACTATTAGTATATGGACAATTTAGTAACTCAATCATACAAAATTTATCTAAAATTGTCCCTCTAGGGTTAAATTAAGATCAATTTTATATCACAACTAAAACAAAAGAAGTCATTTTGTCTCAAAGTTTTAGAGTTGATGGATTAAATTAGAGCAACGTGATACTATGTGACTAATTAGCCACACATGAATAGTTTAGGGACTATTTTGAACTTTTTCTGTAAAAATTATATCAACAAATTAATGAAGTAACCAAGTGCATGCACTTATTCACTACATTCCTAAAATTATCTGAAAATTCACTACTTTTCATATAAAATTATTAGTGATACTCTATGATGTTTTATGCATTTGAGTAGGCTTATAGAATAAATCTTTAATAAAGTTAAAAAATAGGTAAAATTCTTTTGAATTTCATATTTGCTTGACCATTTTTCCAAAAAAAAAAAAAAAAAAAAAAAAAAAAATTTTTCAAAAAAAAAAAAAAAAAAAGAAAAGAAGACAAAGGAACATTGGAGTAGTTTATCAACCTAAGAAAGGCCACATTTTTGGTATTATAATATAAGCTATATGCCCTGGTCTATATACACTAGACTAGACAAAAATGTCTATCGACGCATGACCATGCTGCAAGCCTCATACATTTTTGCCTATAGATTTAGTTAACATTGAATCTATTATTTACATAAAGTCCCTCATATTCATGTCGGGTTGGTATGCTTATCAAGAAAATTTATTTTTCTCTTTACTTGTTAACTTATCTTGCATTGCATTGATACTTAAATATATGGCTTTAAAATTTGTGTAGGTGGAGTTTCAGGCATTCATTATTCAGAGGATATAAGACCTATAATCAGGCATACCGATCCATGTGATTAGTTTGTAAGTTCTGGCAGCATCTTTTTGGCTAGTAAAAGAATGCTCTCATATATCCCCACTACTCATATTAGGCTTAAGACGGCACTCACTATAAATGGTGTTTTAAGTCTTTCATTCTCTTCTATATCAAGACATTTACCTTTCAAAGATATAGTGAGTTTAGTCTAGGCATTTTATCTTTAGTTATTGAGGAAATGTAAGCCCTATTTCCCCAGTTTGAATTCATCAGTCTAACCTTCTAAATTCATGTATTGTTGTTCCCAATCTTTTGGGCAATCCTCTCTTGTGAACTGTAATACTAATGCTTTAATTATCAGATTTCAAGATATTATAAGCCCCTTTCTTTATCCTCCTTCGAGTGGCCCCACTTGGAATAGTAATATCCTCGGCCATCCCATTAATGTTCAATTCATTTGACTCATCTCGATCCCCTGTATTCTTTTAGGTGAAGGCACTAATTTTCTATCAGTCGATTAGCATCAATGTCTGTTGTGCTTCTTTAACCATCATTGGCTCCTTTGCTTGATTGATTAATTGAAGGCAGATTGTAGCCTTGAACCCCTATTTGATGTTGAAAAAAGAGCACAAACTAGCATTCTTGATTGAGAGTACTCTTTTCTATTGCATATGTGATGTAATTAATAATGGATGCTTGTGCCTAATATAGACTTTGATTCCCCTCCCCAAAAATAAATAAATTTTGTTAGGACTTCCGAATTGTACTGTATCATTTAGGAAAAATTTTGGGGGTAAATTTTTAATCTGCTTTTCGTTGAATATCATGTTTAGGTTTTCCTCCCTTTGTGGTGGTACTTTCATTCTTTATCGTGAAGGTCTTTCAAAGTCCAAAAATGTGTATCATGAACATACACGCCACACCAAAGTAGGGATTGCTAGTCATTCCTGATCTTTGAAAGGACAAAGTTGGGCCCGAGAACAACCCAAAAACTATTTGAACCTGGACCATTCTTAATACGTTTTTTACATGTATCGGTCTAGGTGTTGTTTGACATCAACAAATTAGATTTGTTGTCATTTTGACAAATGAAAACTAATTTGGAGGATTTATTCACAGCATATGCTGATGCCATGCTCTAAAGAATTCATTCTTTTATCATTCATCGTCATACAAACACATTTTGGACTCATGTAAAACACAGTTTGTAAATTGAAAAGGGCAGGGGCGGAACCACGTTTGCGTTAGGGGGGTGCAATTGCCCCCCCTAATTTTTTTTTTAAATTATAAGGGAGGTGTATTTAAGTAATTTGCCCCCCCCCCCCCCCCCCCCCCCCCCTTTCCCCCCCCCCAACCTCTTATTCTGCCCCCTTTTGCCCTAACCGCCCGTAATCCCCCCTCACACAGCCGCAAAAACTTCACCTGCTTCACTCGCAGAAGACGAATGCGACGTAAGTACTTCGCCTCCCTCCCATGGCCTCATTCTCCTCCCTCCAATCCACACCTCTCCTACCTCCTGAGCGTTCCACTGATGGGTTCGCTTCCTCCTCCCCTTACCACTCAATAGAAGTCCGAAGCGACTGTCGCCGACATCGCGATCAAAGTCTTTCCCGAGCGGAGAAGAGCCATCAGTGGAGAAATTTTGATCTGGACTGGGATTGGGATCTGATTCTCGTTGTAAAATAGAATTTTTGCTGTTCAAGGTGTTGCGGAGGCCTGATATTGTAAGGATCTAGTTTTTCTGCCCTGGCTTCAGCAATGTTTGTGCTAATCTTATATAATCATGTGATTTCTGCCATGTGTTCTTGCAAATCGCCTTCTGTGTATGTGATCTGGGATTTATCTATCTTCTTACCTAGATTGCCTTGGAACCTCCCTCTTGTTCTCTTTCCTGTTCACTGTTCTTTAGTTAACATTACCATTTATTTTAACTTCTTTGGCAGATTTTGAGTTGATGGGCTGAAAGCCATTAATGATGTTGGGCAGAAAAAAAATTCTCCAGTTCTGAAATTTTTTTAATATACTTTTAAGCTAATACAATCAATAGAAGCATCATCTTATCCTTCTTAGTGGAGAAGCTTTTGTTGCTGAATTTATTTACTTTTCGAAGGCTGATCATTTTAAAAACATTTGTATCAAATATATTTATTTAGGTTTTTGTTGTTGAATCTATTTTATCTGTAGAAGATTGAAACTAATATGTTTTGTGAGTTGATTTTTCTTTTCCTTTATATTTCATCGGTTGGAAGGTAATTACATCCAATGCACCGTTCACATCTCTAATTTTAGTAGCTTTGTTTATTGTTTACTTGTAGTAACTTTTAATCTATCTATTATAATAAAATACAAAATTTTGCTTTAAATTATGTCTTCATTTTATTTTTTTAATTGTCCATTTATATGAAAATTTTGCCCCCCCTAAAACGAAAGGCTGGTTCCGCCCCTGGAAAAGGGTTTTACAAAAGTACATAATTGATTTATAAATGCTGGCATGCACAGAGGCTATTAAATTAAAAAAAATGATGGTAATAAAAATATTCACTTTGCTCTGTACGGAAATGTGTTAAAAACAACGCGTCTATAAAATTTGAAGTCCAGCTTGCAAACTTTAGTGATCCAATGTTTTTCAAGAAATAAATGGTTAGTTTTCCTTTGCCTTATATGAAATCTTTAAGCAATCTCAATGGAAGTGAAATGCCATCTCTGAAATCTTTACGCAACCTGAAAGGAAATGAAATGCACAGTATGAATCGGAGGAGTGACTTAGCCATAATTTGTTTATATATACTAATTTAACTCTCCATCGTAGGCTTTAATCAGTATTTGAGTCTACATAGGGGTGTCAATATTTGACCCGACCCGACTCAAAAATTTCGGGTTCGGCCTAACCCGAACCGGGTCGGGTTCGGGATTTCGACCCCTTTGTAAAACCGGGTCGGGTTCGGGTTGACTCGGAAACTCGAAATCAACCTGATTTGACCCGTTTTTAATTAATTTAGGAGGGTTTTAATGGATTTTTTTGAAATAAATAAATGATATTTTAAAAAATTATAAACGTTATTGCCCAAATTAAATTAATTGAAATAAATCTTACCTTAATTTGATTTAGATTTAAATAAATTGAATTAAATAAAAAAATTTAATAAAATATACCTGAATCGGGTTGGGTTCGGGTTGACCTGAACCCGAAGTGGGTCGGGTTGAACAATGTCGGGTCAATTTCGGGTTGGACCCAAACCCGACCCATTACCCGGTTTTGACAGCCCTAAGTCTACATTAGGTGACATACCATGTGGGTCATAGCGAGGAGTTGAAGCCTCAAAATATGGTCTCATTAATGGGCTTAAATTGTACTATGAATGGTGCATTCTTTTTATTTGATTAAACTAATACTTAATGACAACCCTCAAAATAGAAAATATTCCAACAAAAATTAGTTTTAGGTTTGTGTTCCGTGTTTGAAGTGCAACTTTTTCTGTCTCTCTAAACAAATATCCTTTAGGATTTTGTTTTGTCATTTGTGTCATGCAGAAGTGGAATAAAACTTATGATTATAATGTACAGTTTTAAATATATTTTACTTACTGCAGATCGTTTCATGGATCAAGACCCTGTTGTGGTGATGATTCTGATTTGGAAGATGGTGTTTTGACCAAAAAAAGAGAGAAGATTATGCACTGTTGCAGGCCTGTAAACATTTCCAATCAAGCTCTTCTGTCTGGCTTTGCATATTGCCTGTCATCATGCAGCATGATACTCATTAACAAATTTGTGCTGTCAGGGTTCGATTTTAATGCTGGGATATCTTTGATGCTTTACCAGGTGATTTTCTAATTTCTTGCAGATGATGCTGTGGACATGTTTGATTTGTGATTCAACAATAGTAACTAAAATGTCTCATCAACAACTGCATGGTGTTTAACCTCTAGATTCCGGTTTTCCTGCTGTTGCAGAACTTTGTATCAGTGGTCATAGTTTCTTTTTTGAGCAAAATTGGCATGATCTCAACAGAACCCCTAACATGGAGACTAATTCGGATCTGGTTTCCTGTGAATGTTATATTTGTTGGAATGCTTAGTACAAGCATTTTTAGGTATGGAGCCTTATACAAAGCATTCAAAATTTATTAATAACTTTTGGATAATATTGTAATAAACTCTTTAAATTGAATTGGACCTATAGTGCATGGGTGAGGGATGATGAATGACTACTGCCATCTTATACTCAAAGCTGTTACTACTTATTAAGGAACATAAATAAATTTATAGTTTGAGAGAAATCCCGGAGCAGGTTATACTTCCGAAGCTATTCTAGTTTTTGTCATAGGCGCATGTTCCTGGGTAATTATATCATGTGTTTTAAAGTAAATTTTCATTGTTTGTGTGACATGGTACAAGTCGTGTAGCTATTCCTTTGTAATTTAGCATTACCTTGTAGTAGTGTTCCATGGATGGACAAACGTTGCTTAATTCATTGTCTTCTTCTAACCTTCTGTGTTATTTAGATGGAGATTGGGAGGGAAGAAAATCCATATACCTGCACTTTCCACCTATTCATCTGATCATTATTTCTTAAGTTTTTGCTTGTAGAGTATTTCATCGCAGAATTTAATAAGAATGCATATTTGCATCATTTATACTGTAGCTATCAAAACTACCGCATGCCCACTCCCATAGAAAACAGAGGGTTGACCACACCCATATTTTGTGTATGGTTACTATCCTCTATTTTGACATATATGTGTTATATCTACGTAGATAGCGTTTGCTTAAGGTCCTTTGGTTATCAACGGTCATAGAAGTTTGATGCCTTTTCCAGGTTGTTCACACTTCAAAATATTTGATCTTTCTAATTGTGATAGCAATTTAACTGTTTATTTTGAATACTTTTATTAGACCTGACTACAATACTTTATGGGCCAGAATGTTGACCTTTAAAAGAGAAGTATAAAATTAAGTGTTGCAAAGATTAGGATGCTTAGGTGAATGAGTTGCTTTACACAGGGGTACAAATGTTAAGAATGGTAGAGTTAGACCTAAAAATGTTTAACTAGAATGTATTAAAAATGACCATTTTTTATTAGATTTAAATGCGATTTTGACTCTTAATATGACAATAGAGAATAAGGATTCATGTAGCTGACCCCATGTAGTGGGGTAAAGGATTGATTTTTTTTTTTGAAAGTTGTATGTTGCATTTATTAAAGATAATAAAACAGTACTCTTGATCCACCTCTTCTTTAACTAAACACATGTTCAAATATATAGCTCCTAAGTCTAATCAAATAAATTTTTGAAAAGAAAAGACTCAATCATGCAAAACAAAAGATTATGAGCATGTTTATATGTATCATAAAAATACATCAAGAAGTATTTGAAGTTCTAATCTCCTGCATTTACCCTATTGGCCATGCTTCCTTGGATGGTTTTAAGTAGCATTGTTAGCAAGCATTTTATTTATGATTTATTGTGCATCTCTTTTGAAAATGGTCACCTACAAGAAGCACATGCATATATATGTCATTGTTTAAAATTGCGCAATATGAGGTTGTCCTTGAGGTCCGACTCAACACGATTTCAGTGAAAATTGCATCGAGGCGTAAGCCTCGAACTTTTTTTATGAGGCTTGCGCCTCAGCTTAGCTGAGGCCCGCGTTGAGGCACACCACACCTTGCTGACATGATGCTTACGCCTCACCTTATTAATATTTATTTTATTAAAACATACATAAATCCTAAATTAAAGCCTAAAAAAAAATCACGCTTTAATGCACCCTCAAGATGCAGCAACTTCCCTTCGACTGCCTTGACCTCCAACTCTCTGTTTTCTCCATAGTCAACATTGTCATAGCCGCCAAGGATCACTTAAAACTCGAACAACACCACCACTTCCTCTAAAATTTTAAGAGTATTAATCTCATGATCTCATCTTTATATTAATAAAAAATATTTATGAAAGAGGAAGATGATTGAAATAAACAAAGAAGAAGCAATTTGGGAGACATTAGACTCTATAGGATGAGAGAGGGGAGAGACCAATTTGTTGTTATGATGACGACTCAAATAAAAACCTTCTTAGTGATGATAGTGCAGATGAAATCTAAGTTTTTGTCAACTATTCCAGTTTTCTTGATGAATTTAGTGTAGATTAGCAGTGAACTAGAATTAAGAAAGAAGGAATTTAAAGTTGAACTTGATCTTATATGATACTTTTATGTAATTTATATATTTAATATTATTTTGCTCTTATAATATTTGAATTTTAATTCTATTTCATGTAATTTATCACTTGCCACTTTGTCTTGTCAATTTTTTTATTTCATATTTATGTAAAATTGTTACTTCATAATTCAATAGAGAAAGATAGCACGTTATCCTTTAACATATTATTTGAATATTATATAAAAAAAATTACTTTTAACATTTATTTTGACTTAACACAATTTTTTGATTTTGAGGATTACGCCTCGCCTCACAAACAAAAAATGTCTCAATACTTAATTGCACAATTTTAAATCTTGAGATATATATATATATATATATATATATATATATATATATATATATATGCTAACT